TTTAGTTTGAAGAAGATTTGTAACAAACTGGATTATATCTAGTGTTCCTCTCTAAGAATGGACCTTCTAGCAAGACTGACATACAGTAACAAAGCCAGCATTTTCCTACATGGAATTACTGAACAGTTTTACAAATATATTTAAAAACCAGACTATAAATAAAGATGCAGATCAAAAAGATCTGAATCTATTTATACATAAAGATCAGAAAATCAGATCATATTTTTAAGCACAAATAATAAGACAATTACAAAAAAAATATTGATTATACACACTAAGTTTTTATCACTTGACCTGCTTTTGGTGTTAATAAAGTTTTGCACTTCTGCATTAAAATTTGAAAGACTCAAAACCACTACGGGAACTTCTAAAACAATGTATTTCATACTGGTAAGCCGTACAATACACCTATTTTTGATAAACATCTATTTATAATTGAAAAGCATTCTATAATAAAATTGAATATGGGAAGAAAGGTATCTCAAAATACAGACTCAAACAGCTCTATCCAGCTGAGAAAAGTTCAGTTACAATATGCAAGGCTAAAACATGTGAGAACACATTCTTTCTCAGACGAAAAGAGGAAAATTTTAACTACCATGGACAAGCACCAGGAAAAAAAAAAGGCAAAAAGACAAAAAAACCCATTCCTTTGTTAGAAAAATGAAAACCCCTACAAAGTCTTCTACAAAAGACCTAAATTAGAATCAGACTTTTTTTTTTAATGTACACTACCATTAATCTATCTGTATGAATAAACACACTAGTACAGGACTATGTAGACTGGAGGTGTATTCCGCCTTGCATAAATTCAGTACTTACCTGAATTTAATGGTTGTATACAGAAACTGTTGATAATTTTACTGCCTTTGTACAAGTGTCTCCACTCACTGCTGTGGGAGGCAGTGGCAAATTGGAAAGAAATTGTCATTTTCAGTCCTTATGTTTAAGAGGCAAGAAAGAATTTGTATTTCTTTTTGCTGAAGGTAAAAGAACATCAGCAGTGGAAAGATGGAAGAATTGTATCTCACTGTATATATTAAGAGTCTGAAGAACTGGAGAAATGTTCACCTCTAATGGAATATTTGACCTTAAGCAAAATAAAGAACGGGAAAAAATTCATCAGGTTTTGATTGCACCCTTGCATCCAAGCATTTTTACCCTGTCTAAAAACCGGAAGTTTTACCTATCTGAAGTCATCAATGATGACTATATTTTACTGGTAGAATTCCTATTCTGAACAACAAGTATAAAATTGGAAGTACAAAAGACTCATTTTAAGCTGCTTATGAAGTAAACTACTCATTTTCCAGCAGTTAGATATGTTTAACTACTATTAAAATGCAGAATTAAAAGATTTGTAGGGGGGGGAACTTCAAGTTCTAAAAATAACTTAAAGACTACAAATTGAAGTTAAATACTTGTTCAGACTGAATCATTGGCTTTTTTCCCAAATAAGTAGCATACACACAGTATTTTTTTGGTTAAATATATCTTTATAACCATCCTCATCACTTTTAAGATGGTTTGTCCAGAAAGATTCCTATATCTCCTCACAGGAAGAATTAAAACGTAGGAGACATCCCACACCTTGAAGCAGATGACACAAGTTATTTCTACCTAGGAGAAACATCTATATATATAAAGGAATCTAATACAAAACCCATCTTTTGCTTTTGAGCAAAGAACAAAGAAATGGGGGAAGTGATAACCCCTTAGAATCCAGTATTTAAATGTTATATGAAAACTACTGCACTCTAAAGAGATTAACACAACCAAACCTGCTTAAAGCAGAGTGAAACTTTTAAAATTATACAGTACACAGAGAAAAAGTCTTCTCAAATTTCCTAAGGCATATTGATCTTTTCCTCTATGTAGAGACTTACCTAAAAGGATTCCCAGATATTTATGGATACATACAACATCTGTGTCTTTTCAAACTGGGATCACTTCACATATAGTATGCCATCATTTTCCTTTGGCTTACCAATAAACTGCATTATAATTCAGTAGATTATCTACTACTAGCACTATTTCCTCTAAATCAGCATTGCAACATCATACCTCTTTCTAGATCTACTGAAGTAGGTCATTCTACAAATACGAAATTCATATTAGTTCCGGAAATACTTTTAGTTTTAAGCACACTCAAATATCACATGACCATCATCAGCTTATCTGTACCTCCAAAGTAAGCATACCTGACCATATGAAAATCTTGTAACTCAAAATCAGTCCTACAAATATATTCTAATTTACACCAAACCCTCTGTATGTTTTCTTAGAATCTTTAACATGGAAAATGCTTCCAAATTAAGACATTTCCTGGTTTATTAGTACCAAAAGCGTTAAGATCACAGGAAAAAAAAAATCCTTGCATTTTCTTAAGAGACCATGTAACTATATGCATATTTTTAGAAAAGTTCACTAAGTCGTAATTGCAGCTGAAATATTACAACCCTTAGTAAGTTGTCATCACTTCTGAAATTTGGCATTGGAAGAAAAAACACACCCAAATCAGAACTAGCCAACCTACTATAAAGCCAAACTCTTTAAGATAAATAAATAATAAAAATTATCAGAAAACTAGTACAAAGCTGCCAAAATTTACAAGCAGAGACTTCTTTACAAAACAAAACACACAAAGAATTTTGCACAAAGTGAAAATTCATAAGTTCCTGGACTAGTCAACACTGAAAGCATGGCAGTCCTTCACACGCCATATTATTCCATTGAAAAAGGACAAAAAAGTGAATAAAGAATGAGAAGTTTATTTTTCCTCATTCTGAGCACATGCATGTGTTGGAGAAGGGAAATTTTGTGTCCTTCTCATGTCTGCACCAATGAAATCGGAAAGTGCTAAGCTAATAAAGTGTGAAGGACAGAACTGAACTATTTCTGAACATCAAAAACTCACATTCTTCTAAATAATAAGTACTATCAAACACGTGAGCCATTTGAGAAGATAACATAGAAGCAGGAGAATCTTGTTAATTATCAACAAAGTACCATTAAAAAAAACGGAATAAAAAATTACCTAGTTAAAAATATATTGTTTAATTCAAACACTGACCTCGGTACCACTATTTACTCCAGTCTTCTAGACGAGAGGGCTATAAAACATTTGCATAAACTGAGGGGGTTTTGTTTTTCAAAGGTACAAGACACCTAAAGGTGGACAAATATAGCTGCCCATTTAATTGATTTTCTCATCAAGAGCACACAAAACTCAACTTCTGAGACTACCAATTACACACAGATTTCTCCATACACTCAAAAGTATTTTTTAGCACTTTGACTTTAAAGTCTGAGGAATTAATTTTTTCCTTCTAAATCTTATCTATTTAGGGAAAGAACTGTTCTTCTAGTTATTTGGGATTAATGAATCAAAAAAAATTTACTCATCTAATGTATTATGTTGAAGTCATAGATATAGATCCATACAGAACTACACAGCTGAGAAAATTATAAAATACATAATTTATTATTGTTAAAAGTAGTGCAAATACTAGATGAGCACTTGGCATCACCACCATAACTAAATTCACAAAAAACACGAACTTATATCCTTGAGAAAGAGTCTTTGTAAAGTTAATACTTTTTTTTTTTTTTCCTGAGCATTTCACTATGTTGGAAGTAATATCCTGCTTGATGACGAGCAATCTCAACAAAAACTGGCAGACTTTGGTGTGTTGCACTACACAGTAAAAAAATCAAAAGTTAGGAATTGATGTAGTTATAAGGAGTTCCTGGGAAACACAAATTTTACTTTAGACTGACAGAGTCGCCAAGTGTTCATCTAATACAGTAAGTAGAAGACATACAAAAAATGAAGTGTGCACACACATGCAAGGCAGAAAACAAATCCCATACATGTTCTACATCTACACTTGCAACAAATCATTTTTATAAAGCTTTAAGACATCCAGCAGCAGTGTTTCATTGCAGACCTTTGAAAAATCAGCATAGACGGAATGCCGGAAGAGCCTCTCTTGTTCCACAGTTTTCTTCAAATCCAGGTCAAGAAACTACTAAAAAGCTACCTATTCCCTTTTTTTTTTTTTTTTTTTTTTTTGTGTTCCTCAGGAAAACTGTTGGTAGACTGCCAGATTACAATAAAACATAAATATTCTATAACTCCAGCTCAATACTGCTGCCAAAACAGTATCTGCAGCAGCACCTGAATTGCTGCTGCTACTACTAGTACTATACGCTATCCTACTTGCACTCTGGCATCTCCTAACACCAGATTATAGATGGGGACAAATTGTAAACCTCTGTTAGATCAAGCTCCAACTTTGGCATAAGGCCCAACTGGTCTTTCCTCCCCCTTCCCTCATAGCCATGTCATTTCACAGCCCAACTCTTTGGGAATATACTCTGATATAGGTTTAATTTCATAAGCACACTGGATGCTCAACAAAGCAGACTTAATGGACACATGCCATTTCCTACTTTTCCAGTGCATGACCTAATATAAATATTTTCAATAACTTATGATATAAAAAGACTCCACCACTGTATATTCCATTAGATATTTGTAATTTTTCATGTACAATTTGAAAACCAGAGTTTAGAACACACTAGGAAGATGATAGATTGCTGCTGCACCTATCTGGTTCTCTACAGAGAATTTTCTTCCCCATATTGTCAATGAAGAATCTAAACTAAAGTCACTACTTGAAAATAAAAAGTACATACAAATTTTCCAAGAGTTTTGGAGGTGTGCACTATGGTTCTTGATTCAAGCAAACAGGTGCCACTCTATGAAGTGGGGGAAAATAGTACAAATGTGTGAAGCTCTTTATGTGGGAAATTACAAGAGAGTTAAATGGCACTGAGCAAGGCACAAAAAGTGCTTTTAAAATAGAAAAAAGGGAACATGCAGAGAACCTCAGTATCTAATTTAATTAATGATTGAGAATGCAAAGGCTCCAACTGGTGAAACATTAGCAGCAGCCATGAATTTCACTGTAGTTCTGTATAACAAGTAATCTTACCTGAGTGATTTTCAAAAAAATGTCAACACATCGATTGTATTTTTCATCTGATCCTGTCAATGCTGAGATGACAGGCCCTGCAGGATGCAGTGAGAGATCAATGATGAAAAACAGCTATTTAGTCTTTTCACAATCAAAACCTACAAGACCAGGTAAATATGAAATTTTGTCTGAGATTCATGCTTCTTTATATCCAACAAATGCTAATGTCACATAACCACTTTCATATACATAAGTTGACAAGGCTATCCCTTCCTCACTTACAGGGCATATGACCCCAGGTCAATCATATTACCAATGTTTAACTTCAAACCTGGTCCCAAATACACTATCCTTTCAAGTGTTATCTGGTCATATAGTTAGTAATTTACAACAGCTACACCCAACCTTCCACAAAGGAGACTTAATTTTGTCCCCCAATTATGCAAAGAACTTAAGCCTAACAAAAAAGTTGCTACACTTCAGAAGTCAAGAAGAACAATAAGTAGCTCAAGTAAAGAGTGATAAATTCATACTCAAAGGTTACAAAGGCATGTTAGCATTGTACAGTTGGGAGTTGACTTCCATAAATGTGTCTCCAAAGACTGCCTTAAACTGACATTTCAGTCAAATCAGCTAAGTCCTTGCAAAGGAATTTCAGTGCTTGGCTATGACCAAGAACAGTACACCTAATCCTCAATGATTCAATTGTAATTAACTATCAAATACGTTAAAGTGAAAATAAGTTAATATGGGAGGATGGGAATTTACATAGTTGTCATTTTATTACGTATTAAAATATTTAGTGTGTCTATCAAATTTAGGGAAAATTTAAAGCAGAGGATTCTGACAATTCTTGCTTGTATTTTAATTTAAAAATAGAGAAATGTAGTTGATCTTTATAATGCTGTGTATGATCACCAATTGGGATGCAGATACTCCTAAAATAAAAAAAAAATAGGATGGAATAGAGCTATGCAAGTCTGTAATGTAACACAAGATCTTTAGGTTAAAGTACAGTTTGATATTTCCTTTGGGGAATGTAAAATGGCCCTGAATACCAGGGTGAATGTAAGGAACCTGATAGTTTCCTAAAGCCATGTCATGCAGTCAGAATAAAGATGGTAGTATATCTACAGTAAATTAATAACATCTCACATGCACAGCACACTAATTTATTCCATGTGCTAAATAACAAACTCCAATTTTACATGTTTCCATGCTACTAGAAATCTGTAAATGAACAGGACTGAGCTAGATACACCAAGCATTCCCCACTACAGAACATACTACACTGCACCTGAAATTTATACTAGACACAATACAACTCTTTTTATTTACAAACAATTCTGTTTGTTGTCAGAACAAACACAAATATTTTTGCTAAGTCCATTATAATGGTGACATTTCAAAAACATGTTTATCAGTTTCATTACTCCACAGATAGATTTGATAGACAAGCATAATGTATTACAGTTTAAGATTGAAGTACATTAAGAATTTAGTGTCAAACAAATCCAATTAGAAAACTACAAGGCCTACCTAGAAACAGGCCCATAAGTAAGAGTCAGAAAAGCAGCCTTCCAATTTCTAATATATATTGCATTTTATACCATGACACTGCAGGCTCTGAGGGTCAGAATAATTAAGATCAACAGCAGCTGCAGTGCAACGTGAGAAGCACACTGCCACAGCTCTCACCAGTCCAGCCCAATTACCTGCAGCATTCCAACACTGGACAACTGACAACTACCATACTCCTCACCAGGTCATTAACTCCCGCTGGCCTACTGATAAATGTTAAAAAACAAACTAACCTCTCTAAGATGGACTGCAAAGCTGACTGCACCTGCTGTGGGATGCAACGATGAGTCTCAGAGATGTGTGCCAGTGAAATCCTTATAGTTGTTGCTAACTATATGCTAGAACTGTGTCCAAAGACAGAAATGAGACAGCAATCAGGCACAAACCCTCCTCTCAAATCCCTCTATGCTCCTTTTCTAAAAGCCAGTCTGACAAATTTACTAAATCCAATGTTTTTTTCCCTGGCCAAAAATGTACTGATCACTGACAAAATAAATTCTGTGGTCAACTACTGAGGACAATATCTAAGTTAATGCAATTGACTAAAGAACAAACAAGATCAAAGAGTATTTGAAAAAGATATTGCTTGTTAAAGGTTGCATGTATTAAGAAAAGGAAACACGTTTTGTTTATTGCACAAGGGAGAAGAGAAAAACAATTAAGAGATTCAGACATTCTCTGTTTATATTTTTAAAATATTAGCTGTAAGACCCATGTTCTGTCAAAGATCCCTTAAAACTTAGATCTATCTGAAAAATACCACTGAAGTATTGTATGGAACTTTCAAACTTCATGAAAGTGGAAAATTAAAATCTTATTTAATTTTGTTAAATGAAAAACTGCTTTACAGAAATCCTGACTTTATAAAAAAAAAGCAATACTGTTAATAGAAGCACCTTCATCTACATAAACTTTCTAATCTAGTGAAAAAATTTTGGATTTCAATTTTATTCTAACCTAGGTAAAAGCAATCACAATTAAATGATGAAAACTTAAATATGGCATTTCCATCATAACGTTTGCACTCACTCTCTTCTTTATTTTGCTAACCAGGTTAGTCTGTATCATTTATTAAAGTTAGACTAACCATTCCAAATCTGTCACAAGTTGTTATAAACCTTTCTATACAAGACAAAGACACAGTGCTTCCTTGCAAACAAAAGCCATTTACTATGTCAAAGTTGATTCACTCGTAAACATGAATAAATCCCTACATGTAGAAAAAAAGTACATGCAAAATTTCAACTTGAACTTCTCCTCAAAATTTCTCTAAGCTTACAAAACGAGAAACTGCTAAGTGATAGTACACTGGGCAAGTTACATATGTAACAATCTCAAGATCCTATCAAGTTACATATTCAATTTCAGCTTCCTTTTAAATGTAAAATACTAAGGATCTGCTGGCTAACAAGCTAACTTTTTTTTATTCTGTTCGGTAACCAGGCAACAGACAACTGTCCAACTGAGAATTATCTCTCTGAACAGCTGGCAATCAACACATGGGAGTTTTTGGTGGTTGGTCTCTTTTTTTTTTTTTTTTTTAAACTAGCACAAAGATCAGTGATTACAAATCTACACAGCTCTAGATTCCACCTCTGAAATCTCTACTCACTATTTAGTAATTTCCTCAGACCCATCACCCCTGAAGTTACTCACATGAGTAAAGGTTCACAACAGAATCTGAAAGTCTTAGACATATACTTATGTAGTCTCCAATTAGCTAATGTCAACACTTCATTAAAAAAAAAATAGAAGCATCAAGAACAAAAATGAGATGCATTTATTGATGTATGACAAACCCCTTCAAGGAACCATGACAACAGACAGTTAATAACTAAAGCCATTCTCACTTATAACTCCATTAGTCTTTACTCTTCCCTAGCTGAAAAAACACAGTATTTCACTTCAACATTATTTCAAGTGTTGATTTTTAAAACATTCTTTTCCCTATCAGATTATTATTTTTAAGAGTTATAAATTAACATGACAATCTCTTTATTATATAAAGGAAATAATAATGGTAAACCAAGCTTGATATATGATACCTTTTTCCTTCCTAGCAGTTTATAAGAGTAATGAAGCCATAAGCTTATTAATTATAAATTCCTGTAAAGTTGTTACTTACACATTCAATGTGTTTGAAAGACTTTTAAGAGTCAGAATAGGGGACTTTTCAGAAAGGCACTGGGTACTAAGATTACCTAGACTGTCTCACATAACACATGAATATTTTTCAAAAATCTGATATTTAAACAGAAAACATCTCAAATACAAGTCACAAGCACAAAATAGGCACACAACACTTCACACACTCTCTACATAAGGTGGGAGAGGAAACTCACATATTTTATATTCTTCCAACATTTGTACCACTACTGATTAGAAATCTGCTATAAGAACAACACAGTTAATATATTGTTAAAAGCAGTAAAAACTTATCCCCACTTAATTGTGTTTTTATTCATCTCTGTTCTTGATGTGATCTAATTTCACTACAAGTATGGCTTCATATTCCAATAAATTGAAAAACACTGACCAAGCTCAAACTCACTCAAGCACCAAGTTCAGATCAGGCAAGATCCTGTTGCAAAATAAACAATGTGATGCGATGCAACAATTTTGTGCATGTGTGTGCATATGGGAGAGACTGGGGCAGGAATGCGGAGTGAGAGTGCGCATGAGAGAAAGAAAACGAGAGTGTATGCCAGCGCTCGCAATGGAAAATATACATATGTCCCGAGTAGTTTTCAGTCCGGCGGTCACTATAAACAGATAAGACAATGACAGCTTCATACAACAGAACTAATCTTTTCGATATTATGCAAACTAAAACCATACATTAAAATAGCTTTACAGAATAGCCACTTCTTTAAGCCGTTGACTAAATCTGTGTTTAAATTTTGGACCAAAACCTACTAGTCAATACACCCTGTATTTCTTTACAAGAAGGATCAATACCATTTAGTATAAAAGTAGGGTATATTTTGATATTTTCAATTCATTTATGCTAATCTTGGGGGACAAGCCTGAACAGAAAAGAATCGGGGATAATCTAGGCACAATATTCAAAGTCAAATTACAGGAGTCCGGACAATTAGAGAAAGTCAGCAGGTAACCTGAAAAGAGAACAATAAATTGTGTACTCAAAAAATAAGACCCTAGTGGACAGTAACATATTTTTATACTGCTTCCTATTTTGTAAACTAAGATGTACAGTGCAAAGCTGGTTTTCCTTTAATTTCTTGTAATTAGAGCTGCCATATAATTCTTCAGTAATTATGTCACCTTTTGACGTACAAAAATAATTCCAACAGAAATCAGTCTGCATACTGAAGTCCTATATCACAGAGGGAAAGAAAAAACACTATTAGATCATGGGAACTATTTGTAATTTCCTCCTTTCCAAACAGGAACTTACTTTTCTAAAACTTTTTGGAAATACAGAGGAGTTTCACAGAAGCTTCAACAACAGAACATTGAATAGCAAAATATACATTAAACACATTTGTAATCACAAGCAGAGATAAGGACTAAGTAACACCTATTAGGAAAACAGAATAATTGTTTAAGAAACTTTGTAAGAAAAATAAACCGTATCTTCACCTTAGCTCTTTCACAAGGTTTGTATTCCCTAATGCTATATGAGCAAGAGAAACTGGAAGAAACCCAAAAGTCATCAGCTCAAGGAATGCCAGGACCTCCGAAAATTCCATGGGCTGGTGGTCAGACGCAAACAGAAAGACTAAGAAGAGCTAGTCATGCTAGAATCCGTTTCCCATCCCTGTTCCATGCTTCAGCAGGTATCAGTCACCAACTTCCTTAAAACACTTTGTATGTGACACAACATAGCTGCAAATTCAAGGCAGACTGTATGAAGTCAAACTGGAACTTCATTTGCACCTGTTAGCATGAAAATGCTTGAGCCTCCCTGCCCTAGTTATTTATATGATTGCTACTGATTTTAAGGGAAAAAATGTCACAAACATTTTTCTCATGTTATTCTAGCTTGATAATTTTTCCTTTTCAAAAGTTCTTCTGCTACTACTGTTTTATCTTTACAATTTCCTACACACACACACGCAAAAAAAGAGTAATTCTGATTTAATCAGAAAACAAAAGAACTATACTAGAGCACTGAACAAAAGATCTAATCTTTGGAGCGTCCTTTCCAAGTGAGTGTAAATAAACTGTAGTAAAATGAAAAGGCTCGTAATTTGGTATTTGGAATATTCTTCATAAACACCAATTTTCTGTAACATCCTTGCATATCTGATACCCCCTCATGTATAATGTAGAAAATCCATTTCATTTTCATCTATTGACAGTGAATTTAATTTACTATTGCAGCTCTTTACCCAGATTATGTTATTAATTCTGCAATCAGGCTCTTTAGAATGCTTTTATTTCTTCCAAGAGTTTTCACAATTCCACATTGATTTTTTCCCACCCTAACGTACCTTTCAAAACAAAGGATCATTTTCCTAGCTTTTTTTAAAAAAAAAGTAAAAAAGGCCTCAAAGGCAACAGGCACCAGTTCATAAGCTGTAACTTTCAACAGGGAAAAAAAACTACATGCATCACTTCAACCTCTGACATTTAAGTATTAGAAACTACATTCATTAAGGAGACGTACAACAGGTGCATTAAAATTTCCACATCAACAATCACCTTTGTAAATAGACCAAAATCTCTTCATTAATAAAAAATTCTCCACTTCTGCCTCACATTAAAGGTAGAGGACAGGGATGCTAAATGCTCCAATGTTAGTGTTCTGTTTACATCCATACCAACTGCCTCCACTATTTCGTAGAATTCAGTCATTTTGTTAAAGTAGATCAAACGCAAAGCAGCTCGTATTTTTCCAACAGAAAAAAAGTCAGTAACAGCTGACTCAATTCCAACAACTCAACTCAATTCCAAATCACCAGTTACTCCTCAAAACAACAAATTCAAAACACAGAAGTGTTATTATTTCGCATCAGTTTTTTAAAAGTTCTCTAAAACAAAGTTCAATTAGAGAATGCTAATTTGTTCATATTAGGGGAAAAAAACGATTCATCAACTACAGAAGCTAAAATCTTGTCTATCGTTTCATGTAAGACTCCATTTTCAGAAGTCTTATAAAGGAGAAATGCCAATTCAGGTATTTATTACTGTTATACTCAAATACTAAAAACTTCTTTCTTCTGCATTAATACAGCTGCTATAAAATGCTAATTTCTTTATTCACCCAAAGCACTTCACTTTCTTCCACCACCACGATAAACACAATATAAAGAATATCTAAAAAGCGGCACTTGTCCTTTTTACTTCACTCCAGAGCCAGTGAACAAAGCAGTGAAGAAGAAAGAAGGTACATAATGGATTTAAAGTAAATGGCCCATTCTTTACTAAGCGGCCTCTTATTTTCACTCATTCTAGCTTAATTGTCATTCTAATGTCTGGAAGCTTCAAACGAACAATTATTTTTACACCACCTGTCACATTGGTTCCTTAAAGCTAGATTTTTTTTTTATTAAAAAATAAAGCAATCACTGTTAATTAAAATAATCTTTCACAGAAATATTATAAACATCTTTAAACTTGTTTCAAGCAGTTAGTGCCCAGCATGGTCCATTCCATACAACAAAACAGACAGAATATTTATATTCACTGTTGCACTTCATAACATACTTTTCTGACACATAATGCTTCCTGCTGCACTGGAAGCTTAGTTGTCAATATATGAAACACACTGACATGTACATACGTCCCTTGGGACTTGAAAATAAAGAATTGGCTAATTTTTGCACCTACCTGGGTAAAAATCTTTGGATTTAGACAACTTGATGGTGGCCCCAGTCTCTTTCTGCAACTGAACAATTGTCTGTCCTCCCTTCCCAATTATAGATCCAGCAGCATAACTAGGTATGAGGACCTTTAGAAAATACTGGCCATCCTCTGAAAAATTGAGATATGCATGGTTAATATGGCTTATAAATTCTTATTTTTCTCCCCAGACCCACAAATAAACAAAAGGTTATATCTTTAAACTCCTCCACTAATTCATGCATTTACATCTAACCAGTTGCGTCATTCTACAAGACATGTTTAGACTATGCTTTTGACATTTTAAAATATCTACATTTATTCTAAGCAAAATAAAGAACACACATAGGATCCTTAATTCAGTAAAAGAATGAGAATAAAATCCATATTATATTTCGAAGGTAGATTTTTTTCAATGGCAACCACAGCATACAGAAATGATCAGACCCCTTAAAAAAACAAACAAACAAACAAAAAACCTGCACTAAAACGTGGCTACTGACAACTACAACCTTCCTTGAAAATGCTGCAAAAAGAAATGACAAAACCAAAAAGGAACGAATTGTAAATTCTAATGAGCTATTTGTTTGTCATTAGCAAACACATGAGAACAGCAATTAGCTATTGCCTGCATTCTTCTTAAGTGAGCAAAACGACTACTCTGCTACCAAATAACCCACCCAAAATGTGGGGTTTTATTCCAAGCATTTCAGCCACTGCCAAGAAAACAACTCAACATGGTGCGGATGGAATCACTTGCCTAAGTAATCCTGATGTATTCCTTTAGCACTTCTTAAGCGACAATGATCTCTTTTAAGCTCATTAATTAAAGGACACTAAGAAGAATTTTTCCCAATTGATCAAACCCTAAGTCACTTACTTTAAATACACTTAAAAGGTGACAGCATAGACAATGCCAGTCCTCTACCCACCACTAGCGTTAAGGCACACAATCGAGACAGGAAAAAATATATAGAATGAATGGAGGGGAGAAAGAAAAAAGGATTCCCAGTCTGATTTGGAAACTGCACAATTGTCAGTGCCCTCACCACACTGCTAAATCCAGCTACGCTGAAGTCTGAGGACCTTTTGTAACTGATTCTGAAGAAGTGCAAGGCAATAAGGGTACGCTGGTTTCCCAGACTTGGGCTATCCCCAGTAATTAAGGTAGGATCCCATTGGCATGGATATCAAAATATCACGAAACCTGTTTCATAAAGTTGTGGGGGTTTTTTTACCCCTAAGCAGAGGTAACGATCTCAGTTCACCTCACTTGCCTTCTCTGACACTATAAGCGTCTCAAGAAGTGCCTGTGTGTGACAGTGGTGCCCACCCGTATGACCACAGCTGGGGAACCATGCATTATGTACAGTCGGATCGCTGCTCTCAACATGGGGCAAATAAATTCACCTCTGCCTCGGTGCATTGTTATGACGACTCCAGTGCAAACGGATAAAGGAGATGCTGGTCCCGTTATAACTCATCTCCTCCAGGAAGAGCTGGATGTTAACTAGCGAGTCCCCGCAGCCGAGGGGCGACTCCCCCCGCCACCAGCCAGCCCTCGCCCCCGGCTCGGCACTGCAAACACGCCGTGTACGCGCTGACAATGGGAGTGAGGCCAAGGAGGAGAAAAACGCACGGCAAATTCAACTTGAGACCCCGAGGATGTGGAAGGAGGGAAGAGCGTTTACCGTCTCCCTCCAGCTGCCCTTTTTTTTTGCCCATCGTTAAAAGGGCGAGGGAGATAGCTGGACTGCGGGAGTCCCTTGTGCTCCCTCCTTGCCTCCGTAGGGTCACGGCTGTGCAGCCTCAGCGTGGATATTAAATAAAAAGACTGGTAGATGCTGAAAACCGACGCCATTTTGATGAATGATAACATTAGAGAAATGGGAATCTTTTGGGGGGTGGGGGGAGAAGGAGAGGCGGGCGGGCAGGTAGGTAGGAAAGCGGAGAGGTGGGTGGGTTGTGGGGGAGGGAGGTGACACAGGATATACCCACCGCCCGTGTTGGTCCTTTTGGTGCTGCCGGCTTCAGGGGGAGCTTCAAGCGGTCTTTTCCGAGAGTCCGGCGGGTCCAGGTCTATGGGAACCCCAGTGTGGGTCCCGTTCTGCTGGATGGGAGCTGCCGCCATCATGTTTGCTGCTGCTCGGAGGAGAATTGTCTCTTCCCTTCTGTGGTGGGGGGGCAGGGAGGGAAGGGGGGAGGAGGAGGAGGAGGAGGAGAAGGAGGAAGGGGGAGGAGGAGGAGGAGGAGGGGAGGGGGTTCGTCCCGTTCTCTTGTCCTTTTCGAAAATGTAGAGCTAAGATCGGGATTGTCGAGGATGCTGCGCGCCTTGTTTATCTGGCACCCGGGGGGAGGGAAGGGAAAGGAGGGAGGGAAGCAGGCAGGACTGGGCTGGAGGAGCAGCTGCAGTGCAGTGTCAGGAGGAGATGAGGAGAAGGGAGACAGGGGAACAAGGGGGGCGAGAGGGAAGAGAAAGGGGGAGAGGAGAGGAGGAGGGAAAGGAGTGAAAAGAGTGAGACAGGAGGAGGAGAGGACAGAATAAGTGGGAGAGGAGAGGAGAGGAGGGGAGAGAGTGAGTGGGAGAGGAGGGGAGAGAGAACGAGTGAGACTGAATCGGCGGGAAGGGAGGGAGGGAGGGAAGGAGGGAGGGTGAGAAGGAGGGAGCGAGCGGTGTAAATGGTGGGCGAGGGAGAGAGTGGGAGATGATTCACGCTGTTTCTGAGCCCCCTTCCGCCCCTGCCCGCCCTACTGCCGCGCCTGACGCTGCGGCTCAGCTGCCCGCCGCTCCCGCTCCCTCTCTGTCGGGCTCCTGTGCACGGGGGTGGAGAGGGGGATCGCTGCCGCTGTGGTGCGGCGCTGCTCCGCTCTCACCCCAACACCGCGGGCGGCTGGTTGGCCGGGGGTTGGGGTCACCGGCCTCGGCTGCACCGCAGAAACCCGCAAGGCAGGAGAGGTTAGAACCGTGGGAGGGGGTGGAAGGGTGGGGGTGTCCGAGGGCAGGCGGGTGGGGAAGGGGGGCGATGGGAGGGGGGGTGTATATGTGTGTGTGTGCGATAAAAAAGAAGGGCGGGGCTTTCTGTGAAGACAGGCGGGAGATCCGACCAATGGGAACAAAAGAGAGCGAGGCTGGGATTGGAGCTCATCGCCAATCCCGGGACGCGAGTGGCGGAGCCGCTGTGGGCAGGCGGGGGTGCTTTAACCTCTGCGGCGGGGGCGGTGGTGGGGCGGGCGTGTATGGGGGTTGGCTCCTGCCCCGGGAGGGTCCCCGCCGTGATGCGGCGTCACCTGGGTTACAGGCTGCGCCTCGCAGGCCCGCAGCTGCGTGGGAGGACGGCTGAGATTGCTCGAGGAGGCGGTGGGATAGCGGGGACACGTCCTCGCTGGGGCTGGCTGCACCACTCGCGCGGAGCGACACGACACGGCCGGTGTGGCCGCGGCCCTCTGTCCGTCCGTCCTTCCGTCCGTCCGTCCGTCCTTCCATCCCCACCGGCCGCCGCGGGGGACGGGCGGAGGACAGCGCTGCCGCTCCGCATCGGGAGCCTCGGACGCGCCGGGCTGCATCGCGCAGGCTTGTAAAGGAAATAATAAAGATATTATTGTTATGCTGTGACAGCCGGTCTAGCTGGAGCTGTGCGACACAGCCGCGTTGCTTACCTAAGTATTTCGTAGAGATTTCAAAGATGTTTCGCTGCGGTGAAGGTTATTTCTGCTTACAAATCTGAAATTATTCAGGTGGAAGCTTAAAACGTTTTAAGATGTGGGGGAAGGGGGAGGCAGGGCTCGGGGGATTGTCTGCACACCAGAAAAGCATTTTTACTATTTTACTCTTTGCTATTTATTGACTCGTTGCCTTTAAAGAAATTTTTCAAACTGCTGTAACTGGGGAGGCAGTCGTCAGTACTGTAGCATCAATTCTGTACAAAATTTAGGAACATATGTTTATTGCGTTACACCATGCTCTGTGCTAAATTTGTGTTGATACGTGTGTGTGCAGCGTGGCTGCTGACTCTGTTCCTCCTAATGCGCGAGCTGAAAACCTGTCTGTTTGTGGATGAAATCCAATTCCCATTCTAAGCTCCCTGGGAGACAGCCTTAGTTTTAGTAATCACTTACCATTAATGCTGCTCCAAACAATTTTTAGTACTTAAAATGCAGATTTCGTGTATAATGTATCATATAGCACATCACCTCTGCTTAAAAATTACAAACCAGGTACGTAATTCATTATGAGATATTTAACTGTGCACATGTTAACAACTAAACAGGCTCTTACCCAAACGCATTGACAAATTAAGAACTCAATTAAGCACTGTACATGGAAAACTTTCAATTAATTGTTTGGGAATTGTGTCCCAGGAATATGATATCCAGCTTCCTCGCCAGCAGATGAAATAGATGCAGCCAATTCAGTAACAATTTAATAGGATATATGGTCAGAAAAAAATGATTGTATAAATAGGGTACTTTCTTACTCATCATATACCCTTTGTATCTAAGATACTCTGACTCATAATTGCTTAGTTTACTGACTGAAATAAAATTTTAGACTTCTGTTACCTTGGCAGTTGCTGACACAATTACGGTACAGCAAACTGGGGACTGGTTCTAGCTCCTGCATTTTCTTTACTAAGTTCCAGGTGAAGAATTTTATTAGTATTTGAGTCAGAAAGAGTGCTACGTGACTTGTAAATCTCGGGTCCAGTTTGTTGGGTCATCAGTCCTAAGAAGCCTCTTTTTATTTGTGAACTAAGCAAATGACTTACAGAAAAATTTGAAGACAAAAATAAAAACCCACAATGTTTGAATTAAGCCATCTTGAGTCAATTTCCGTAGTGGAACTGGATAAATTATAACACTGCTCTCTTTATGTCACTGAATATGTCCCATTCATCTGAAGCAACATTGAATCAAACAATTCTCTGGTTTTTAGACCACATCTGTTTTACTGTGCCCCCTGCACCAATTTTAATTATGTGACAGATCTGATTGGATTCAGCACCTGCAAGTCCTCCCTTTGGGATCTCCAATTAGCTTATAAAACATTTACTTGATTGCATTCTGGAAACAAAAGTATTGTTTCATGCTAACAGCATGAATAATAAAGTGTAAAATAAAAAAAAGTTTTAACGTAATAAGCAGTGTGTATGTTTGTTTGTGTATCTAGCTTCCATAAGCTTAGAGGAAAAAATAGTAATCCTGAAACCTAATTTCCTCAGACTCAGCAGATGTCTGTCCTGCCTTAGCCTGTTTCTTTACTAACAGCTGTTTCACAAGTGCCTCCCCTAGTCTCTACAGAATGCCTTTTGTTTAATAATTCCTCTCTACATTATCTCCCATCCCACTTAGACAAGATTTTTCAAGTTTTCTGGTACTTTAAGTAGGTATTTTGTAGTTTAATAGATAGGTTCATCTTTGAAGAAGTTAGCTAAAACTATATAATTAGCCTCTCAGCTAGCTTCTCAGTAACAGTTCTACTTAACTAAGCAAATATCTACATGTAACTAACATTTCAACAAATATTGATTTAATATTAAGAAAAATTTTAATTATTACAAATATGCTTCAGAATACACTTTTTTCTCCTTATTTGACTGCTTGGAGCACTGATACTGGAGGTCTAGGGGAGAATATCGCACAAAGAGCAGCCCTCTAGTGGCAGAGGTCATGGGGAGTTTAAAGCAAGCTGGGTCTTTGTTATGGGTCGGGGCAATGAAAGAAACAACTTTCAGCAAAATGCAGGCAACTGTCTTTCATTGTTCATGGTCTGAAGCACAAGCAAAAATAGTTGTGGAGGCCTGTAATACAGCCTTGCCCCCACTCTCTTGTAATATCACGCAGAAAGTACTGATGGAAAATATTAAAAGGTCTGAGTTTTTCCTCTTTTTCCAAATCTGTAATCTGTTGTTCATCTTTTCTGTTTCCAGCCAGCGTTGGACTGGCATACCTGACCAGAGGTTTTTCAAGCAGCTGTGGGATCTTGATTCCTTCAGTCATGTCCTACCAGATGAGGTATTCTATAACTTCAGTAAGAGTATGTTCAGTGATGACATGGAGTACAAATTCAATTTACCAGCTTTATTTCTAAAATCACTCTTGACTGGTGGAGGTGTGGATGGTAACATTCAAATTAATCTCTCCCACAGACATGAGAGCTATGCTTAGAAATAAAAGGGATTAGGAAGAAGGATAAACTAAAGCAATTAAGCATATATATTAACAAATAGAAATCTACATAATAACTGAGGTGGAGTTCTAATCTGATAAAGTCCACTTTGTGGAAAAAGACTCAATCTCCTGTTTCTTATGGAGGCGATGTATAGTTCTCTTCTGGGTAACAGAATGAACACTTAAATTTTCCCTTTATATGACAAAGCCCAATAATTATTCAATAAAAACCAATACCTCTTAAACATCCTGGCTACGTAAAAGAAAACTGATTCTGTCTTTGTCCAAAATGGTGTTACTACAATTGCCAGTTTTTCATTACTGAATGATTTGTGTGATTCCTAGTAACCTTTGGCTCCACTAAAATTACAGTTAGTGATGAACTCTTTCAGGTTTTTAATTTCCATCTCCTGTTTATGAAACTTCTCTCCTCTGACAGTCTCTCAGTTAAACTGGTATTATCGTTGACTAAGTTATCTAATTGTTGCTTGTTTAAATACTGCAGAATTTGTTCACCAGTAAATGTTTTAATTTTCAGTGAAACTTCTCCAAGATTCCAGCAATATCTGAGGAAAATCAAACCTAGGATTTGGGAAAAAGTTAAACACATATTAGACCGAAAGTGACCTAATTATCTATTTTCCCCCACTTTGTATTGTTTTTATTATCTGCACTGATATATATGCATTGCCTAGCTAAAAACCAAGTTTTAATAGTTGTACTCTTCACTGAAAAGAGCATAGACAACTGCTAAAACTTTTTATATTGTAGATTGTTGCTGTGTTGTAGCTTTCTTTTTCCAGGAAACTGAGGATGACAATTTAAAATCAGTAACAATTTGACCATACTGTTTGTATGAATATACTGGCCAAAATTCTTTTTCTGGTGATTGAAGGCGAAAGTGTTTGTAGGAAATCAATGTCCATTTCTCCTCTCTCAGCAGAGGGATCACCTATCTCCTATTCCCACAAAGTTCATTAAAATTTACAGTATTTTTTTTACTTCATGAATACCGAACTGAATTGATCTCTGTTCTTCATTGCTGAATCTGTAGGTCAGATTTACAAGTGGTTACCTAAGGATGTATTCAGATCTCAGTGTAAAAACACAAGTTAGCCTCAGGACAGGATAATTTTTAATCCCTCGCAGGGAATTGGCTCTGTGGATCTGGATATCTGAAACTCCAGTGGCTGAACACTTACCCCAAAAAGTCATCTCCATGGCGATCTTTCTGCACAGTAATTTAAAGACCTTTTCTTTCTCAGAATGAAAGAAAATGAAGACTTGAATTCAATTGCCTTCCAAAAATAGTAGTATCTTCTGTTTTCTTTGGGTTATTGGTTTTGTTTGTTTTGCTTTTTCTTCTTTTTTCAGGGAGGAATTTTTTGGGGGTTTTTGTGTATGTGTTATTTTGTTTTTACTAGAAAAAAATTAGATATTCGGAGTTTAAAATGGTTACAATCTAGGAATAAATTCACTGCAATGAAACAATGTAACATCAAGATAGAAGCATCTCCTTGTGTAGCTTCATCAGTTTACAGTGTTACTGATTGTACTTGTACCTCTTGTCACTGTCTTACAAAAGGACATTGGTGAAGCGTCTCTTCTACAAACTGAATTCAGTCAGCTACCACTCCATATGCTTCTGACTGTATTTCTTTAACAGTACGGTCAACAGGGTACTTTTCAAGGAATCAGAATACCTGTTTCCAATCACTGTTACTATAATTGCTCTAAAAATATTACTATTTTGTGTGTCATTTTGCTCAACCGTCACTAAGTGTCTTATTTGTTTGAAATTTTGGCACTTTATGATAAATGAAGTACAGAAAAAAGACGCATTAGCAATTAGTTTCTTTGATTCTGTTGTCAAGCTTGATTCCCTTCCTGGAATAATGTAGTCTTACAATATGGGATCTTAATTGGGATTGTTTTGGAATTTTGCTATAGTTCAGCTCACAAACAAGAGTTATTTCAGTGGAGAAGATCAGAAATCTTTCTGAAAAAGAAGTAGAAAGAGGAAAAGTAAGCATGTTGCACAGTGGACAAAGGAAAAATAAGGAAAACACAATAAAGACAAAAGTACTGATTTTTCTGTGGTAATCATGATTATGTAGCAAAATTTGAGTTGCTCTGATAATTTTGCTCACTAATAATAAAATGTATACTACCTGAGATCATTAAAGAGAACTACATGCTAGTAAAAATGTACAAGTAAACTCTCCTACTATTAACCACCAAGGAACCCCATTTTTTCCTGTAAAATTTAGAATCAATTTTCCAAATAATAAACTTCCAGTAAACATAACTTTTATAAATATAATATAATAATATAATAAATATTTATATCTATTATATAATATTTTAAAATATAATAATTTTAAAATTATTAAATAATTATAATAAATATAATTATAATGGTAGATTTTTTGCCAATGGAAAGGTAAGAGAAGTAGCATAATCGAAATAATAATAGTTCCTAGTAGAGACATAGAGATCTTTAAAAGTACTTTTTAAATGCTCACTATATCAAAATGCATATGCCAGTAGACTACAAATTAATTTTCAGCACAATAATATTTTAGGAAATAGTTATTACCTTTAAGAATATCAAGCCACAATGGGATGTTTAATGTTTTTTTCCCTAGAGTTTAGCAAATATATTAGGATTTGTTCTTCCAGAAATTATTTCACTTCACCAACAGAAATCAGTGATTCCATTTATATTTCTACCCGCTTGAAATTTATTCCTAAATAAATTCCCTGAATTGGAAAATCTCTTGGTGGGGGAGGGTAAACAGCTAAAATTTACTGCCAGGATAAATTGGCCAGAATGATTTGGCACATATCCTGAGTTTGCCATGAAAACACGTATCTGTGTGTCAGCTGCACACAAAGGCTATCTGGCCCCAGAAAAAGCATGGGGATTAGGCATAATGCTGCCTATTTGAGACAAAGGGTATTCCTTAGTGCAGTGAGGTTAAAACAGACAGCTCATCAGTAGTACAAGTCTATTTGAATTATTTAGTTACCATTTTGAGCCAGAAGGAAATGGTGGCAGATTATTAATGACTTTGGGGTTTTATTCATCTTGTTATTTTGTTTCAGTAAAAGCAGCAATAGGAACATGAAAAGGTAGCAAAATATGAGATCATTTTTACTTTAATCACTTACAACATATAGAATTACTTCCTTCTTTTAATGCTAGTTCCAAAATATTACTTATTTTTATTTACATTTCACTAAAACTTATGAAGCTGCTGTTTACATTTGTAAGTAGGTGAATGACCAAAATGAAAGAGACAACTCACATGCTCAGAAAATAGAAATCCATGGATCTACCAGATGAAAACAGTTCTATTGATTTGAAGGGGGTTTAAGTCATTCAGTACAAAATACTTCAGGAAAAAATAGTGGAGAGAGTAAGGAAACTATGTAAAAGATATAAACACAGTCTGACATGCATTCCTGCAATAAAAGAGATTCTGTATCATAATCAGGTGATGGGCAATTTAAAATAACTTTGCATAGAAATATTTAGGGATGTATAATAGGAATATGTATAAAGAATATTTAGGAACATATCATTTATCATTTTTAATAAATTATATATAAAAAAAACAGCTGGTATATAATTTAAAATTTGGCAGTTACAAAAAGTGAAAATTAAGGATGCACTTTCCAATAATTAAAAATAACAAGATGAAAATCTTTACATAGTCACACTTTAGGTCCATAAAAAACATGATGATACAGAAAGTTATTGGAATGTTTATATACATTAAGTATATAAGAGAAGCCTGATTATTTTTCCTGCAAATTTTTTGTGGATTTTTATTTTAATATTTGTAATATTTTACCACGTAAGAAGACTCCTGTTTCAAAACTTTGAAATATCTGTACTTTTCATTATTATTTTCCTTTACAACTTTAAGCTGTTTCCTCTAGAGCAGAAAAAAATCGTATGTTGAAACAGTAAAAATAAAATTACTGCAGAACTGAGTCATTGCAAGTGAGATGAATGCCCATAAAAAACCCCATACAGATCACCAAAAAAAACCCAGAAATAAGATCACTGTGCACTATAAACAATGCTTTCAGACTCATCATGGCTCACAACAAAGGTATTTATAAGTGGACCTCCTGCCTCTGTCACCTGCTGTCATTGCTTTGGATTGACTGCTGTTAGATCCCTGTAATCCCAAACCACGGGATCTTGTCCTACATATTTACCCCACTTGGTATGCATGTCAGTAACTAGTTAAAATGGAAATGAACTATAATCTTTGTATGTGTTAATAGCAAAGGGTTTTAATCTCCTAAACTCCCTATTTACCAAAGGTTTTTTTAATTTTTTTTTTTTTTTGTAATAAAGTTTATAAAAACCTGTGTTCAGTCATATAGCTTATGCTTGCTAGTTTAGCCACTTATGTTTGGTTAATGCTTGGCATTTCTTAACTCAATAGGGTGTTATGGCAATATCATGGAACATGTTCATGGATGATGAGAAGAATAGAATAACAACAACTATTACTCTAAAAATGACATTTTAATAATGGTAAGTTTTGGCAACTTTCTTGTCTGTAATGAACTTGTAAGAAGAAAATTTTATGTTTTAGAAGACTGATGCTACCGATGTAGAAATAATATATGACTGCCATTGACTTGTGAGGTTATGTTGTTATGTAGATGTTCTGCAGAGATTAAAACTCAAATATTGTCCAATTAAGAAAAAATTCATTGAAACTATCATATCCCATTCCACATGAAGACCCATTGTTGCCAACAGGTTAAAATAATGTATTTTGTTTGAAGGGGGTAAGAAAAAAACATGAGTATAGCTGAGTTCTAGTCCTAACTCCTATAAGAAATGTCATACTTGTACCCAGTACATATCTTGCGTCATGTAGGATCTTTGTGAAAATCACTACTATTTTCATATTATAATTGTTATTAATAATTATTTGCATTGTCCAACTGCTCCCTGAAACTTGGTTCCATGATTACTTTCCTGGGAAACCTGTTCCACTGAATGACCTCCCTCTCAATGAAGAACCTTTTCTTAATGTCTGGTCTGAGATTCCCCTGATGGAGCTTCATTCCGTTTCCTCATGTCACCAGAGAGAGCAGATCAGCACCTTACCCTCTGCTGGTCCTCTTGAGGAAGCTGAAGACTGCGAAGGTGACTACAAGCTTCAATAAACCAAGTGACTTCGTCTGTTTCTCCTTGCTTTTCACCATCTTGGTCAACCTTCTCTGAACACACTCTAATAGTCTGATGTCCTTCTTACATTGAGGATAATAATATAAAAGTGAAATCACTAGAGCAATTTGTACAGTGCTGTGATATGATAAGGATGTTTTTCTTTTAAAATATTAATGGAACAGCTAACTCCACCTGGATAGAACTGAATTCCTACCATAATTTCATTGATATTAGTAGGCTGTCATTAGGGAAATGGATCTTCCACTTACGGAAATGTGTTTTAAATTCATAAAAAAAGTAATATTATTCTAGTAAATAGTTTCAACACATTCCAGTCTACTTTATTGATTTCAAGCTTACTCCTGGAACTAAAGGTGATATGATGAATATGAATCAGTAAAAAAATCCCAATTTTAATATCTGTCATCCAGTGTGGCAGATTATTTCCCAAGTTCAGATAACTAATTGGTAAACTAAGAATGCATTACACATAAAAAAGTGTACACAACATACACAATCAGCAAAGCTAAATTCTTAATGCAAAAGATGCAAGAGTTAAAATTCTTGAAGTGAAAATATCTTGGCTTAGTTGCACATATTTTTCTTTTTAAAGTAAATGCATTAACAGAAATGGGACTATAAAAAACTGTGCTTTTAAAGTTAAGTGGAAATAGCAATAGAAGTGTATTTTCAGCACACTTTACTATTTAATGTAAACTCTCCTTGCCCCCCCAATTTATTTTATTGTGCACTTTTAAGAATTTAACATTTTACGAAGGTGAAATATTTGGTATGACTTTTAACAATTTAAGAATACCCACAAAAATGATCATTCTAGAAAATGGATGTTAAGCTTTTTTCAGTTTTTAGTGTGTAGCTGTACCCACATGAAGTTCAGACATATTTAAAGATATTATTCTGTATCAAAGGCTAAAAGATCTTGTTCAGTTATGTAAATGCCCATTCACTTGAATGGTCTTTATTCATATAGATGACTGTGTTCAACACAATTTTTACAAGCATTCAAAACAGTGTGCTGCAAAAAGAGTATCTTCTCTTTTCATTTGTTTTTGCAAAATTTTCTACACAGGAAAATATTCCAAAGAAAGTATCCAAAATTGATTATTAGATACAGCAATAAATATCTATAAAATATCTTGGTGTCTGTGTTCCTATTTCTACAGAAATGTACATTACTGTTAATCAATATAATCTGAAACTCCGTGGTTCTTGAAATACTGGTTTGTTGACCAGATCTCTTATACTTAGATCAATACAATTTTGCGAACTTATAGAAAATACCAATACCTCAAACTTTTGTATATGTCAGCTAGGACTGAAAATATTGTGTTAACTATCTTTTGGACTGTGTGGGTAAGTGATTCATTATTACATTGTCATACTGTGGAGGAACTGGATTGCACTATCTCCAAAGATTATGCATTACTTAAAAATGGTTGAAAGCCATTTCTTTCATCATTACAATTGTAACATTAGTGAAAGAAGACCGTCAGCATTTCATGAACATTTTATTTCTTTAGACCTTCTAAGATTTCCCAGGAGAATAAGTCATATAATCAAACAAAAATGCTTGGTGTGATCAATTCTGCAATACTGCATTACATTCTCTGGAAAGTAATTTACAAAAGAATTAACTGTGTCCATGTTATTCAGTGTCATCTACATACCTTAATAAAACATATGATGACAGCAGGCATTGGTCGTGGAAGTTTGAACTTTTTTTTAATGTGATTGTTTTCAATATTTAGTCTGATGAAATGAACATTTTGTGTAACTCTGGTCATCTGAGAATGAAGCTGAAAATTGTAATTATGAAAATAGATAAATATTTTACCTGTATTTGGTGAATTTCAAAGTTTTGTTAAAAATATCTAAGATTTGAATTTTGTTTAAATGTTCAAAACCTTTAAAATAAAAGAAAAATAGATCATCTATTAAAATACAAGTATGTGCATACACATGTGTTTATAACTGTACACAAAAATAAAGTGCATGCATATGAATGATGCACATACTTTGTGTTTATGTGTATATAGCTGTATATATATTTATTCATTATTCCTACATAAAATCACACAGCAATTTTGAGCCCTCTAGTGGTAAAAAACCTCTCAGTTAAGAAACCATTAATCTAATTCTAAATATATCCACTTAACAGAGAAGTGTCTAAATTCTACAGCACTATTATGCCTTCATATAAGTTCAGGATAGCTCCCTGCAGTCGGTGTGGGTCTGTAGATACAAGTGTTAAAAACTATACAGATCTGCAAATTAAGTTATTGTTTCCAGTGTGGTAACTTTTCTTCCTTTCCTCTGTTGAAAATAAAGCTATTCTGTATTCTTTTGACACATTGTTGATAATTTGTGATATTCATTTAAAAAACAACAATCTCCTGATATGAATACTGTCAAATAAACCAGAAATGTTTTCTAACACAGCTATCCTCATTCTCAACCTCACATTATATACTTACACAAGTAATTACAGGGAAAGAAGAAAAATCTGCATTTCAAACTGGGAAAGGTTTCATGATATATAACTTCAGCTATCTAAATGCTATGTTTTTAGGCTAAGCTGGTTGTTTGCACTCACTTTGCTGTCAATGGAAGCAAATAGATTGTTTCAGATTGAATTGTCTTGTAAAGGTGTCTGGGAAAGAGCTGTAGAATAGGTGAAACATTTATGAATTCGAGTGCCTCTCCACTTCTCAAGGATACCTAGCTAACTAAATTGGAATGAATGTTTTCTTTTTTGTAAGACCAAAATAAAAATATAAAAAACCTAGATTTGAGCAAGATTAAATAACAAAATAATAAATAAATATTATTATTTGAAGCAATATTTATAACATATGCATATCAGGATATAAGGTATAATAAAATACTACTGCATGTATATATTATAATAAGATATTAATAAATAAATAACAAATATCAGACAGGATAATTTACTACGTGGGGAAATCATTCTGCAAGATCACTACACTTTGAGAAAACCCCTGAATATCATTCAGAAGTGTTCTTTCTGGTGCAGAATGGGTTTGATGGGCTCCAAAGATCACACTTTCTTTAATTTTACTCCAGATTTAAACATTTGGTCATACCTGAGATTTTATGAATTCTACAGGTGACCTATTTCTTCAAAGATTAACACTTTAATCAGAACCTTGTCCCTGCATGAATAAGGAGCTTACCAACTACTCAGTGTAGTAAGATTTCCCTTTTCCCAGGAAAACCTCACCAAGAGAGTTATAGTATTCATCCCCTCTGTCCAGAGTCCTAAAATCATGAAACATGTTGACTCTCAAGAATAGTGACAGTTTACTGATATGGATTTTAATAGAGATTAATATCAGTGTTTCTGCAATTATTTCATTAAAAACACAGTATATTAATTTATTAATGTAATTGGTTATATGACAGGAGCCTCAGACAAGAAAATTAGAGAGGTCATAAGTGGTTAGTTCTCATTTTTAAAAATAAAGAAACAGTTTTGTTTCCAGTGTATTAAAGCAATTTAAATACACTATTATTCAATTGCCTGCTTGTTTAGTTTTAGTATTTATCAAAGTTCCATACATGCATGATAGCGAAATTAACTCCTAAAATGGAAACTTTTCATTGTATACATGCAAAATTTGAACCGGTTGATTTTTTCATGAGATTATCTAGGCAAAACATGGAAGAGGGAACATAATTTTTTGTGAGTGGTAACAGTCCACCTCAGGTAAGTAGTGTGGCATAAGGTTGGAATATAGTTCCTGTATACAAGAGTATGATTATCACAAAAACAGGAGTAGGGTTATGCCTTGTAGAAGAAAACACTGGTGATTTCAAAACAGTGAAAAAAATTACAGAATCACAGAATGGGTAAGGTTCAAAGGGACCACAGTGAGTCATCTGGTCCAACCTCCCTGCTCAAGCAGGGTCATCCTAAAGCATATTTCACAAGGTTATATCCAGACAATTCTTGAATATCTCCAGCGAGAGAGACTCTACAACCTCTCTGGGCAACCTGTTCTAGGGCTCAATCACCCACACAGTGAAGCAGTTCTTCTCACATTCAGGTGGAACTTCCTGGGCATCAGTTTCTGCCCATTCCCTCTTGTCTTATTGCTTGGCATTACCTAAAAGAGCCTTTATAACATAACACTAAACAGTACTATGTGACTTGAAATGTTGAGGAAAAAATAAATTTTACATTAAGGCACTGCACTTTTCTTGTTTAGAAATCCATTTGTTCGGAGAAATTAAAGTCAAGAAAGTAATACAATTTATCAATGTTATGCTTGGGATAAACAATCTTAAATTCATATTTCACAAATCAGATG